AGGCTCCCGAAGGGATGGTTTGCAGAGCATGTGCACAGATGTGCTTGGTGCTCCTGTCTCGCGTGTGTAAGAACAGGCAGGCTCAGGCCTGGGCTGAACGTAGGAACGAGGATTCCTCCCGTCCTGCTGCTTCACACACATTGCTTGCTGTGTTCCCATCTGGAACCTAGCCTTTGCAGGGAGGGGGAAGTCCTAATGCATTATCAGGGGGCAAAGAAGTCTGCAGGCATATGCATGGAGCTGCTCAATTCTTACAGTTTGTTTGTTTGTTTTTAAATTTGTTGAAAGAGCAAATGCAATGATCAAAAAAGCAGTTTAAAAAAATCCCGAAAAAAAAACAAAAAGCAAAAAAACCCAAACCAAAACCCAGGAAATGCTTGGGTTAGGTGCTCAGCTTGGCACTTTTAACAGTCTGCTTTGGATTTCAGGGCAGGGCAAAAGTTGGGGGGCAGGCAGGATGGGACTTTCTTACCCACTAGCACCAACTGGATCAGGAGGTAATGGTGAACATATGATGGAGGAGAGTAGCGTCCAGCTGTACTCGATGCAGCATGGCTGCATCAGTCTGCTTTATGTCCAGTGGCAAATTTAGCAGAGGTTGAGGGCTGCATGAACTTTGCAAATTCAACAGAAAGCTCTTGAGCATCAGAATTAGCTGTGAGAGACTGGCAGGCAGGACATCTTGTTTCTGAATAAAAAGCAAGCTCTGATCACAAAGCTGTGGCCTTTCACTGTTGTTCATGAATGTGTTAATGGGCATTTCTGATTCTGTGTAAGCTAATTCACAAATTGCATCAAGTTGGGTGAGAATTTGCTTGTAGTAGGATTTTATAGCCCCAAGTGCTGGCTGCTGAAAGGTCATTAATCTGAAGAAGATCTTGAAAGGCTAATTTATTGTCATTAAGTACAATGTAGCTCTCCAATTTACGTTGTTGTACTGCCGTAACTGAAATGAAAGGAAGTGAGTGCAGTTTTGGACATCTCTATTAATACACTACACTTGTATAGGTTTTATAAAATTCTATAATCTTCATGTTAAGTAAGTTCAAAAATATCAGTTTACTAGATGCAGAAATCACTATAAGTGGTATAAATCTGGAAAACCTAGGTATATCTTTTCTTCTGAGGAAAGCACACAAATCATGTAAGATGGTACAAACAAGAAAATCTCTTCTAAACAGTTGGGGGGGGGGAGATTATGCAAAATAAAGGCCGTCTGAAGTTTAGTCTTGACATAAATACTCAAGTGTCAGGACAATCTAGTCCCTAAACTAGACCATTCCTCAGAAAATACCTTTTATCCTTACACACCTATAAATTAAGATACATGACCACCTACTGCTGTTTAACATAAAACAACTGAAACATTTTGCATGCATTAGGAGCTCAACTGATAGTTTGAAAGGAAACACATACTTTTTAGGCACAAACTATCCTCCATTGTTAAGCTGTATCTTTATGGTAAAATAATGGTGTGCTTTCAGCTTGCACAGGCATGTCCGTCCCAGCTGTGATTAGCAGCTGGTTAGCACACATCCTGACCCCAGGTAGGGGGGCGGTGGGCTAGCCCGAGTGAGGAATGGGTGCGGTCAGGGTTGGGCTTGTTCTTACTCTTTGGCAGGCTAGTTTAGAAGATGTGCCTGGGCCTACAGCAGATGTTTGCTGATATTGCTGGCCAGGTTGAATGGAAGTCTTCCACTTGCAATCTTGGCCCATCTTCCTTCCTTAAGTGCGTGGCTCTCAGTGAATGTGATCACTGATGGATTTGCAGCTTTTCATAAGATTCGTAGATGGGTGGCTAGTTGCAGGCTTCAACCGAGGCTTTTCTCACAGGTTCAGAGCAGCTTTCTCCAGTGGGATCACTCATGTTTCTGGTAGGTGTCACCCTTTGTCTTCCCCATGGTCCAGGTGCCACCAGAGTCACTCTCCTCTGAGCAGCTGCCTGCTGTCATCAGTTACACAGCTGGAACAGCTGGGGATGCCTTGGCATGGAAGGGCGCTTTACTGGACCAGGGAACCTTACCTGTGCAGAGCCTCTCTCAGGAGGTTGGGTTTTCTTGGCATGTATTAAAATATAAAGTATTTTATCTCCTCTGGTTACAAGGGACTTTGCCATTCCTCTATCACATTTGGCTGAAATCGTCCAGGAGGTTCA